TCAAATGAAGCTAACACAATGCTGCCCCCAGTGTGTGATCAGACGCATGAGGTGCAACAGACATCGATCAGGCTCTGTGACTACCTCCGAAACAATACTGCCCGCCCTGTCAGTGTTCATACCTTTTATACAGACCGACGAGGCCGAACAAAGCCACAGCATTCCTGCCTTAAACAGCCTCACCTGCTATTTCAGTATGCATATGATTTATTTTTCAGATGTCCTATCTTCAATTTTCTATGTTTAGTTTGCACAGTGAGCTTCACATATGGTGTATTGGACCACAGGTCAATAATAGGTCACATTTAGCTTAACATTTTGTTGATTAGAAGTCTATATATGTGTATAATGACCCTTCCTGACTAGAATGCTGTAAGCATTGTGTCTAAACAAAGCATAGCAGGCTCTTCACCTCTGACAGCTGACAGAGGTTTTGAAGCGTCACATTTCACCCTTATTAATCTAATCCTAGATTCTTTTATAACGAGGTTCTTTCCTATGACGCTTCCTTCCTTTCTACCCTTTCAAGTTCCATCCATTGGCTTTCCTTAACTGGATAAATTGCTTTAGCACATCATTCTGCCTCCTCTTCACAATTTCTTTGTACCAGTGTAATTTCCCTCTCTTTTCATGGTGTTGCTTGACAAATATGTTTGCTTTTGCCAAGGCCAAGGCCTCCACTAAATGCCTGTTGAGCTTGTTGAACTTCCTGTTTGTAGAAGGCACTTTTTTGCCGAGCTACCTTGGCAGGCAGCATAGGTCTTAAACATGTATTTAGTCACTATATTTTCAAGACTTTCAAATAGAAATTCATGTATTTGGAACAGTCAAGTTAGACTGTAACAACCGCCCCAGACTTTCAGGGGGCTCAAAGGCCTCAGGTTCGTTGTGTGGCAATTATTATATGAATATTTCTTTTACTGCAAATTTGTTTGATAGTGAAGAACAGTATTGGGGCCTTAGAGTGACAATATAAAGCTTAGTGTTTTGTAGAAGGGCTCCAATTTTAAATCTAGTTTTAAGGCTTGTACTATTTCAGTATAAACTGTATTTACACTTTGTATAGCACTAAATATGTATACACAGTCAAATTACCACAAACTAAATACTAATTACTAACCACAACATACACAATGCATAGAGGGTGGAGCTAATAGGGGCTCCCAGCTCATTTTTGCCCTGGGGTCCCTTGGCCGTTTAATCCGGCCCTGTCAGCAATAAGGACTCACAGTGGTAGCTGTTTATCTTCTCCATCTCTTTAATTACCTTTTGTTTAAATCAATCAAAGATTAGATTTCACTAAAACCTTTGAAATTGAAACACCAACTTCTCTTTTCTGTTTTGGCTCCATATGTGCTTCTATTCGTACAGTATATGTATACGGTTAGACAGCACAGTGAACTTCACTTACATGTGAGGCTGCTGTTATTAACTTGCAGTGTAGTGCACATTCACAAACTTTTTTGCATCAAAAGGAGTCCTGTACATTTTTTTCCATTTTATTCAAGCCCATTAACCTTGGGCTTTCTGTGGAGGTATAAAGTACTTGAATATTTATTAATTTTCTTACAGCTTTTACATGAGGTAGTGAAAGACTGTTTGAAAGACAGTTTTTAAGGGTGTGTAAATATTGTGCTCTTGAGCTCAAAACCCCTGAACTTTGAGGAAATATGATGTTCAATTCGATTCAGTTCAGATTTTTATTGTTACACAAGAAAAAAATCTTCTTTCAGCAAGGTATCACAAAAACACGGTGAAACAATGGAAACATTAAAAGTGCTGGTAGCGGGGCGTCGTGTAGCGTAGTGGTTTAAGCAGGCGCCCCATGTGTAGAGGCTACAGTCCTCGCTGCAGTCGGCCCCGGTTCGAATCCCGCATCGGACGGCCTTTCACTGCATGTCATTCCCCCTCTCTCTGCCTCCCCGTTTCCTGTCACTCTCCACTGTGCTGTCCATTAAAGGCATAAAAGCCCAAAAAATATACTTTAAAAAAAAAAAAAAAAAAGTGCTGGTAGCATAAGGGCAAAACAGAGTCCAGTAAAAGGTCCATGTGATAAACACAAAGAAAACTTCAATTAGAAGAATAGGTAAAAGATTAAAATGATGTGTTTATTGCAGATTGGATAAAAAAAAAAAACTTCAATCTGTTTGACCTCATTTCAGAAACCTGTGTCTCTGACCAGAGAGATGTCAAAATTCTTAAAGGGAGGATGGTGCAGATTTGCAGTGATGGATGTAGCTTTCCATGTGACAAATGAGGCTGATTTTCTCCATAGATTTAATCTACTATAGGGGTCAGGATAGAGGGCCAGGAATCTTGTGGCTTGGATTGTACCTCATTGTTCATCCTATTGCACAGAAGTTTCTTCATAATGAATAAGTGAAAATGTAAATGGATCAGCTTACAACTTTCTCTCTCTTTCGCCTGCACAGAATTGAGTGCGAAGAATTAAGTCTAATCCATTCATAAAGATCTGGTAACAGATATATGACTGTAGTTGGTGATTTATATCATACAAAGGGTTTAAAAGCAGATAAAAACAAGAGACATGACAAGGGATAAACGCTCCAGAAAAAGGGGGTTGTAATGTGTATGATCATAATCATTTTTCATTTAATCAACCATGTGAACAAAGTGTTGCTTTCAACAAGACATTATTATAAATGTGCGTATATCACAAAATTGTGATATATTTGTTTTTATCACCCATTTTGCAAAATCATATGGGCAACCAGGTGAAATGTCATTGATCCTCAGATAAAAGTAAAACCACCAAAATACAGTTTAAACTCATAAAGAAGAATAAACATGAGTGAGTGAATAAAAGTGTTTTTCCAGTCAGTTGCCATCCACATTCACGTGGGTACTGTGTGCTGTAATATATAGTTGTGCATTGCCACATTATGTTCCCTGGCTCTTTGAGTGCCAGATCCTGCTGCCCTGCTGTCTCTCAAGGTCTTTCTCAGTCTGCTCTAGCTTAGCCAAGGTCACCCGCTCTGCTGCAGGCTCCCTGCAACCTTGAGTGGCTAACTGACCGGGAAATGTGTGTTCTCCCGTTCCACCACCTACGTATCTCAGTGTCAATCAGCCAGATACAGAGCAGAGCTGTCATTAAATGTTCCAGCACGCTGCCACTTGGACATTAGGTCATTCCAGTAGATATAATCTGGAAAAAAAACACATTTGCTCAAGGCCGTCCAAGAAATTTGCAGTAAGAGCTCGGCTTCTGAACAAATGTTAATTGAATTAAGTGCCTCGATAGGCCTGTGTGGTACATGAGTGTGTGTGTGAGTGTGTGTGGGTGTGTGTGAGTGTGTGTGAGTGTGTGTGTGAGTGTGTGTGAGTGAGAGCATTGCATTTGTTGAGGCTTTACATTCAAATGCTGATGGGCAAAAATGTTGAGTTAAAAGCAAAAGACTGGAATTGTGTGTATATGTGTGTGCATGTATATCCATGTCTAAGTCTGTAAAGAGCTCAAAGGATCTTGACTATCAATAGGCCTTGACAAATTGTAATGGGAGTTTTCAAATTGCAGGAAGGAAGAAAAACTATAAGTAAACAGCGTATGACTGTTCCAATTAACAAGGCTTCACACAGTCAGGTCTGAAAGTCTTAGACCACTTCCCCAATGGAAAAGTGGTCTCAGACTTTAGAACCAGTGTGCAAAAAGCTTTTTAAATAAAGGCAAGCCACAGAGCGCTACAGAGCATTAAAGCCACAATAGTGAGAGTGTATCTAGGACCTTGACTTTGATATGAAATCTTGTGGCCTTGCTTCCACCGCCCTCCATGTTAAAAGCTCTTTGTGACAAGGAAATTACTTTATGAACCTCTGAAAGACACTCCAACACTTCACCCTCCCTGTTAGTTTCATAGCTAGACCATGAGAGAAGTGTGTTTTTTCCATTTTTTAAATCACTGCAGTTTACCATTCGCTCCCTGCTCTTATTTCACAGCTTCTCCTTCAGTTTTTGTCTCCCTTTTTCTTAAATAAAACTACTAGTAATTGAATTAAGAAATGCAATTAGCTTTTCTATTTATGTTGTATTTGCATGCAAATAAGCAAAACACAATGAAATGTTTTCCAATCTGATGACAAGGAGAGGTAAATAATTTGCATATTATGTGTAACATGGTGAAGGTTTGTGAATAAATATACACAACCTTCGTGTATGAGACTGCAGTATGTACCTTTACCTTCAGCCCTTTAAACAATTCTCATCCTTTGCTGGAACAAGAGGTCTGTTTTTCATTTTTCCAAGGTCTGCGGAAAACAGTTTGTTTGAATACGCTCATACTGCCGGGTCTGGCATTGGGTGAATGATATTTATATGTGAGAGTGTGTTTTTGTTTAGGTCTTTAAGGACTCGGTTCCTTTAACATGTACCTGGAATGTTCAATCCGGATAGAGGCAGAAATACCAAACATGTGTCTCTGTGGCCTTGAGACTTCACAGGGCTCCGACTCAGTGCTCAGCTCGGTAAACACGGTTTCCTCCTGTGGTTTTCTGTTTGGACAGGAAACAAGGAAGCCGATCAAACACTGGCTCAGAAGGCCACGGCTGCATTGAGCTGGAATGGAGTCGCGGGACTTTCAAAGCACTTTAAATACAGGGAAACGTGAAAAATAACATGTCACTTGTTTTGTGCAGATCCCCTGGTTTACAGCCCTGTTGAGTTGCTCATTTGTGCTTGTGCAATATTTTCATAAAATAAATCATGCTGTGTAGATTCCCTTATCTCAAGTTTGTGTTTTGTTTACAAAGTAGAGGAAACACTATCACAAACACTGTGTGAAATTTGGTGTTAATGCCCAACTGCCTGCGTGCTACAGATTTATAACCCAGTCTTAATGACATCATAGATTATGAGCAGCAGGACAGAGGCGATAGGAAGCGTTGGCTGGATGGACAGACAGGGAGGAGGAGGGGAGAGTAACAGAAGAAGAGACGAGCAGGAGGTGTATGTCAAAGTCATCAGGGTTAATAAGTTTGGTGATAATGCTTCCCCCTTGTGACTGTTTATTAAACTGCACACATTGTCAGAAAGTCACAAATGACCTCCATCATTTGTGGGAGCATAAAAAATAAAAATAAATGACCATGGATGTCAAAAATCAATTTCATTATTTTAAAAAGCTGTTTTAATAGTGATGTTATACTATTTTTATGACAGAGAGATCATTCGACTGCATTTAGCTTTGTACTGTGCCTCTCAGCAACATAGCCAATAGACATGACTATAATCCCTGCTCAGAAATCTACTCCCCACATGTTTTAAGAGGAACAAAATTACTCTGCTTTTATTAACAATTTGAGTCTGATATGTTTTGGGTTTTTTTTCACAAAAAAAGTTCAATTATTTAGTTAAAAATTCTTTAAATACATTACATTAAATGACATCTATTACATCTTAATTTTAGAAGTTTAACAGCTGGAAACAAGATGTCTTCCACTTCCATGAAACTCTCGTAAGCTGAATATTGAACCATGATTGCCTTCCGAGTTGTGATGTGACAAAATCATATGTGCACAATTTAAATTCATATTTAAGGTTGAGCACAGAGAAGAGATGAATGTGGAAACAGCCTTCTAGGGTCTGACTCTGCACATCCATCATTCAACATGGTGAAGGTCAAACAACCAGGTGAAGTAACAAAAAGCAAAAACACATTTTTGATTAGATTTGAAACTTGCAGTACAAGTTTATTCTGTTGAAATAAACAGTCTATCTTATATTATTTTGTGACCTAAATGACAGGGACACCATGTTCTCCTGCATCTAACCAACAAAGAGACATTTAGAACAGATGAAGATATGGCAGTCATATGTGCAGTATATGTGTGTTAACAATAGTTAAGTAGGCCATGATGTGTTCTGTTAGAAGTGAATGTTATTTGAAAAAAAAGGAGAAAGAGCAGTTTCAATTTTCAGGTCCTGTCTATGTTTTCCTTTAGAAAATGAAAAATGCACATACACACATGCCACACACATGCCTCACATACAAACATGCCAATTACATAACTGCATATTACAATTGTATTATTATATAAAATAAAATAATTAAAGAAAGCACAAAAATAAATACAGCACATTCTCCTGGCAATTAATAATTATATACAGAACATTGCAACATCCTCTCAACAGCTATTAAAACAAAAAAGTAAAATAAAATGCAGTCATCAGTTTCATCTTATTTTTATCATGTCTAAAGTGAGTTTCTTGACACTGGGGTTACTCCTCCTTATTCTCTGTTAGCTGCTCCCTGGATGCCTCATTTGAAATCTGCAGAATAGGAGTGCTGAGCTCACTTGACTGCATGTCACCAGCCACCCGCAGCAGGCAGCTCACAACCATGTCCTTGGCCAGGCTGGCATCCAGGTTCCCTTCTCGACTCAACTTCAAAGTGATCTGGTCCAGGCTGGTCAGGACCAGCTCTGACTCCAGCAGAGGGCAAATGGAGTGTGGGTGAGAGTCTTCTCTCACCATGTTTTCCATCATATATTGCTGGTACAGATCCAGGAGCTTCTGCTCCAGGTAGTGATTTAGAAGGGAGTTGGAGAATGGCCCCTCTCGCCCCTGGAACAAAAAGCTCCGATCACGACCACTCCCCAATCTCCAACGATTGGAGCCTCCCCTCAGTGTGTGCTGAAGCCCACCCTGAGATGTCTGCCCTGGGAGAGAATCCTCCACGGCTGAGGGGACATCGCAAGACTGGAGAAAGGGGCCAGCAGGCTGGGCATCAGTGCAAAGCCTCAGCTCACCATCATTAGCTGAGAGAGGCAACACCTGGTCACCTCCAATGTGTAGGTCGCTGTAGTTTTTGCAGATGCTCTGACAGAAGGAGGGAACCAAGAAAGGGGAATCACCACCCGAGCAAGCCTGAGCTGGGATCTCTATTTCTGGAGAGATCTGTCTGCCTGGATGGGCTCTCTGAAGTTTCAAGGACTGCAGAGGAGAAATGTACAGCTCCGCTGAAGCACTCCTGTTGTCCATGCTATCTGTCGCCTCAGGGGAACTGCAATGAACAGGTGGAGCGCGTCTAGTGGAGCCTGACATGAGGGTGGCAGGTGCTCTTGGCAGCCCATAAGCACTCTGAAAAGCCTTCTGAGGTGCGGGGGAGTCCAGCTCCTCCAATTCAGCGAAGGCCATGCTTAACAATCTCCCTTCGCAAAGCATCCTGCAACAAAGAGCACATACTCAAAAGGTGTGAGTCATCAAAGCACACAGCATGTCAACATGTGATAAGATGCAGCTTATACAGTTGGCCTATATATGGGGACACACAGCATGGACCAATGCTACATAGCACAGCATTATAGCCTCACCTGGCTTGCAATGCCTGTCCCTAGATGGGCTTTTATACAAATACACAAAACTCAATGACAAGCTCAAGCTCAGTCGTGATTACACGAGCGGCTGCTCTTTCAAAGCTGTTTCAACTTGAGTTTAAAATATCTTGTTTACAGTGCATTCAGAAAATATTCAGACCCCCCTTCAGACCCCACCCCGACAAGTTCCCTCATCATGGCAAGGCAAAAAGAGAATTTTTGTTTCTTTAGTTTAGGATCTCTGGAGCTCAGCCAGAATGACATTTATAACCTGATTGCTCAGTTTAGTCAAGCAGCCATCTATAGGTAGAGTCCTGATTGTTCCACAATTTTTCCATTTCAGAATTATGGAGGCCACTGTGCTTTGGTCAACCTTCAGTGCAGCAGAAATTCTTTTGTTGCCTTCCCTAGATCTGTGCCTCGACACAATCCTGTCTCTGAGCTCTGCAGCCAGTTCTTTCAGCCTCATTGCCTGTATTTTTCTCTTATACACATTATCAGCTGTGAGACCTTATATAGACAGGTGGATGCCTTTCCAAATAAATTGAATTTACCACAGACAGACTTCATTCAAAGTGAGAAAACATCTCAAAGACGATCAAGAAAAATAGGAGGCACCTGAGCTAAATTTCCAGGGTCTGAATATTAATGTCAATGTGATATTTCAATTTCTCCTTTTTAATAAATTTGAAAAAAATCAAAAATTCTGTTCTGTCATAATGAGATATTGAGTGTAGATTAATGAAGGAAAAAAATAATTTAAATGATTTTAGCATCAGGCAAAATATGAAGAAAGTGAAGGGGTCTGGATATTTTCTGAGTCCACCGTATGATCCACTTTGAGTTCTGTGAATTCGCAGGTCAACATAATAATGCCCCACCTTACATCTTACTTATCTAAAAATCATTGAGAGATAAATCATATTACTCTGTAACAAATATCTTCCTACCTTGACTGGATTCAAATTCTCTCAATCAGCTGGTCACTTGATTTCAGGCGCCAAATGTCCTTCCACAGTCTTTATCACAGCAGAGAAAAGCACTTCTTATAACCATTTCATTGTCTATCAATGCAGCATACCAAATGTGCATGCTGTGTTTGATTCAAAGTCTATATGGAGAGCAGTGTGTGAGGAGTGGTTGTTTTGTACCTCCCCAAGAACTTCTAGCTATAAAAAGAAACCACTGAAGTTATGTTTCTCTGTAAAAGAACAGGTGTGTGATTGAGGTTCAGTTAAAAGCAGAAAAGAAAGTCAAATTTAATATGATCAAAATATCAGTAAACAGAAACTTCTGCAGTTGCTGATTCCTGTTTTCATTTTCTGATGGGTCACACCACAGATTCTGAGTGGCCTCTCTGTGAGCACAGTTAAACCTGCAGGTTTTCAGTGGAATAATAGTTCAGAGCTTCTACTTTACTCCCTCTGTTATCTGTCTCTGCAGCCAAAGCAGAAGTGTGACTTCATGCTCAGTTATGTATGACACATAACTCACTATTTCCTCTTTGAAACCAAACCATTTCTTCAGCATGTGAAAGTTGGACTGCCGTAGTAACTTTGACCTTAAAATGATGTTTTTCCACATTTGATTTGAGCTCCTCTGTGGTATGAACTCATTTTGACTCTTTTATGTTGGTAGTGGTGTGAAAGTGAGGGAAACTTGTAGGCTATATTTATGGTCGGGATTTTTCCCAGATGAAAGCACCTGATCTGTGTATATAAGCCACCTCAGTTAAGACTCTTTTATTCAGACTTCCTCCGCTTGTGCCAGGGAAGCCCAACAATAGAAGAACCTGAAACAGGAGAGAACATGATCTATTATTGACAAAGTCAGGAATCCTAGACATGAATCAACACCACATAATTTCTTCAGTATTTGTTAGGTCATGTGTAGCTCATTATATAACTGATATAGGTCTCACAATTTTTAACTGTGTTTTCATGTTTGGTCCAAAATTTGGACCAGATAAACACAACTGCAGTTTATCACGTTTGTTAAGTTAAAATCTGTCTTGTCCAATACAATTTATAAACAGGTGGAGTCATCCTCACAAACAATTAAACTATAGGCCCATAGTTTGTAGGATTGCTGGCGGTTGGTATTTTGTCCACTAAAGTCAACCATGAGTCAGGATATCTGACACACGAGGGCTGCTAAAGGTAGTAATGGCAGCACAAAGTGTCGAGTTACCGACCCGTTGCTACAGCAATGTTGCTGAGCAACATCCGATAACAGTAAAGACATGTTGAGATCAGGTTAAACAACAGAGCTGCTTTTACCTTGTGACACAACAGAGAAGCGGGTTGTCGATTTCAGCACCATGGACAGCGCCTGGTCCCAGTGAACAGCTCCAGCCAGGCTCAAAGGCATTTTGTTTGTTTGTTTGTTTGTTTGTTTGTTTGTTTGTTTGTTTGTTTGTTTGTTTGTTTGTTTGTTTGCAGAAAAATTAGTTTATTTTTGAAGAGGCGGCTATGGATGGAAGCCTAACATACACTAAGGAATCTAAAGGCAAGTCTGTGACCCTGAAAGATTCCTTTTGAAAGGGATGTTCAGAAAAATCAATAATGTGTTCCGTCCCAACCATCACGGACACAGAGGGCGGGATGGTGGCGGTGGTGGGTTTCGGTCAGAGCAGGACTATCACAACGCCTGCACCGTCAGGCTGGTCCGCAGTACCTCCATGCTCGTGGTGGGAGAGAAAAGTCAAGCAGCCGCGGGCTCAGCAACTTTAAAACGAAGCAAAAGCACAGTGAGCATCGAGTCGACCTTGTACTACTATCAGAGACAAGAGGACAGGATATGGCTCTACTCTCAGAACCAGAACTGCCTGGAGTACCTGGAAGCACTTGTGGCTTTGAGGCGGCGGTACACAGAGAGTGTGAGTGACCTGAAAAGTAACGACATCAAGGCCACGGTGTCCTCCAGGAAGAAGCCTGCACCTCCGCCGCCTGATAAGGAAGAGCCGGTAAGCTTAAATCATCTCTCCCAGCACACACGGCGGGCGATATCACAGACACATGTTCTTTTTTTTTCTTTTTTCTTTTTTTTTACCACAGATACGAAGAGCCAAACCCTCTGCTCCCCCAGTCTCCAGCGAGGAGGACACTTTGCAGTTCTTCGATGCGGTCATCGCCAGCTGCGACAACGAGCCTCTGCGCAAACCTTACCTGGACGATGGACACGCAGACGTGGATTTCATAGGCGAGTTTGAAAATCTTCCCTATAATTGTAATGATTTTAGGATTTTGTCTGAGTATTCAACGCTGCCTCGCGGTAGATTATCCCCTGGGGTCAAATCCTAACTTAGGTTTTGGAGATAAAGTCTTTGTCAGCGTGTCTGGGTATCATAAATAAACCCAACCTTGTATAAAGTAATTATCTCCACCTGAACCAGCTCCCATATTAAAATGCATTAATAAGAATAGTCAAATGCATTATAGTGATAATACTCACTTTTACCTAAGTAAATGTTTGAATACAGGACTGGGGTATTTTCATTTTCTACTACACTTAAATCATATATACATAAAATGTGATGTATTGTTAGTGATAAAACCATCCAGCAGTATTCAAAATGAAACCCACATAGACCAGTTTACATTAAAATACTGTATGTAGTGATGTAGTAATTATAGTCCAAACACTGTATATGACATTACACTGAAAGGGCCATTTTGCATAATGAGTGTTTTCACTTTTAATACTTCAAGTACATTTTACTGATAATACTAATCTACTCTTGCTTACGTAAAAGTCACTTTTCCTTGTGACAGTATTTTTTTTTCCTTTCCTATATTTCTGATTTCACTTGAGAAAAGGATTTTCTTGAATGGTCGAGGTCACAGGTGGAAAGTAGCTAAGTACAAATACTGTATTCGAAACCCCTGATTAAACATTCTCTCAGGACTGTTTGGATGTGCACAGACTAAGTTTCACTGACATCTCTGTCTCTTTATTATCAGTTTGTGTTAGGATTGGGCACATTACAAGCATTCTTAATAGTATATGGAGCTTAATGACAACATGTACGCCTGTGTGGATATGTAGGACCTGTATAGTAGTTTCTACCTCACACTTCACTAAAAGGGAAAAGAGTATTTTTCCATTTATTTGACAGCTGCAATTACTATACTACCCACCAGATTACAGTTTTTACATGTTAAACGCATAAACTCAAATTATATTTTCAATTGATGTGTGTTAAAGGCTAAATATTAAGCCTGCAGTACTACCAGTAGTAGTAGTAGCACCACCTGGACCAGCTATAACCAGACCATTGAAATGCTGTTCACAGGTTAATATATCAATAATTTATAACACTGTGAGAGAGGCCACTCTTCACCACTCCTTTTACCACTGATACGTTTGCTGCCATTGTTTCCAAACCTTCAGTTAAATACTACTTTTACTTTGACTTGTGAAGAATCTTTTCACTCCAGACATTTAGGCATGTCCGTGTAAGGAAAGCAGTGGTGCAGTGAATCATGTTAACTCGGGCTCAGTTTGTCCAAGTAAGCCAGCATACACCAAGGCCATAGAGCTGAACTGCTGTACGTGAATTGAATGCAGCCATTATTAGTGTTATTAATTACCCCTGAGCTTTTCCCTCTATGACATGTCAAAATGTATGCTGTGAAAAAAGTCTATTCTTCAACCACTAGTTGTGTAGCGTAGGTAAAGGTCAAGTATGGTTAAGGATTGGAAATGCCGGGCATAATTTGTAAGATACTCATTTATACACTGGCCTAGCTCTTTGTGACTAGCTTTTTTTTTTTTACCAGATACTTCATCTCATTTTTATGGTGCCTATTTAGTTAGAATGAAAACCTGAAGTATTTTGGATCTTAAGGTCCAGAAGTGAAAGCTACTGTAGTAACAGCTTCAGCCTCAGCTCAGGTCCTGTCTCTCTGCCCTTCTCTCCCACAGTGGCCTCCAGCTCAGCTGAACACGACCTCCACTCCAATTGGGTCTTGCGGGTTCCTCGGGTCGGGGATGACTCCAAGCAGGAAGTGGTTAGGAACTGTGCCAATGAAAGTGCCCCGAAGAAGAAAAACCAAAGCGGGTCCACAAGCAGCAGACTGCGACTTCAGAGGAACCCGATCCACCTGCCCAAAGTGGTGGAGAGCGCGTTCCAGACTCTGCGCTTCAAGCCCAAATTAAAAAAGCAGTGAAGCCTGTTGGACATTTGAAACCAGCAGCACTGCCACACTGCTGACGTAGAGCTCAATCGAGTATGTTTGGACAGACACCATCCTCTGGAAAAAATCTCTCTGGACATTTAATATAGACATAAAAAAAATTAAGCCTAATTTTAATAAAGCAAATGAAACCTCTCACCAGTGTAATAAAATTAATTCCTCCTGGTCCAAAAGGGGCCTTTTTCTAGGCAGACATTTTGACATGTCATTGTAGAGAAACACAGAGGTGTTACTGGCATTAACAATGGCTGTTTTTAGTGTCCCAGTAAGTCATGCTAGTGTGACAGTTATCCAGCACGAACAATATCCAGACTCTGAAACTGAAACAGCTAAATGGAATTCAGCCATTTTATTATTTTACACCTGTAATTTTGCTTGTGTCATGCAAAATGTCCTAAGAGAAAAAGGTCTATCCAGGCCTATCATTTGTTTCAAGGATGTCATTTACAGTTGCAGATTAATATTACAAATAATCTCAATTAATATCGGCTTGATAAGTATCATTAGGGTGCCACTTTAAAGGGGAAATGTTTTTTGCAGCATAGCCCAAAATAAAAATGTTTTAATTCCTTCCAATATCTCAAGGTTACTTTAGTGTTTCTTCCAAGTGCTTTTGAATGAGTTTTGAATCAAGTAAGAGAAAAGTCCAATATTGTGACGGATATGTAATTTAGGTTGAGTACAGTTTCTGGTTCAGGCCTGCAGAGACTACATTCTACCCAGGTATCAAAGCCAACCGTAAAATGTAACAATAGCTCCTCAACAGCAACAAGTGCTGCGTGAATGCCTGTTTCATTCAACAGAGAGATTCACATTTGCAAGGCAAGTCCAAGGGCTGAGCTGTCTGAATAGTTCAAACCCAGCTAAGGTAATTCTGTTTATCACTGCTTAAGGTTAAATGGTGTTAAAGTTGAAGGGTAAATTCGAATGA